TAGCTCTCGTCAGAAAAGAGGCACACATGACTTACATAAGAAGTTGTTGATGATCGATGGTAAAATAATTGTTGCTGGGTTATTTTCATTTTAAGTAATAAGATCACTATCATGCGGAGAGTGACATTTGATTTATTACTGCGAGCCATTGGTTGTGTCTGACTGGTGTCTTTACATGTCGTGTTGCTTTACGTATCCCGTTGTGTGACGCAGTAATTCGAGTATGGGTGTTAACTTTGATGAGTCGTGACGATAATATACTTGTATTGAGGTCACGTTATGAGCAATCCAGTTATAGGCACATTAAGTAACAGAGCTGCTAGTACGGTGAAGGTGTTCGTTGAGAAATGGAGTATTCTGATTCAACAACCGCGGTACTAACAACTGAGTACTTTGCGATGATTTTTATTGCTAATGTCACCCATTCTGACATTGTTATTTCTCCGGTTACATCACCGAATACTACTCAGACGCAGAGATATGCCGATGTTGCTACAATGGTGTGTGCGGTTAGCGAAGATATTTACTACAGAACTGGGAGTGCTATAGCTCTTTTCGGTGTTATCTTAAACGGTTTGTTCATTTATGTTATTAGCCGAGCACAGTCAATGCGAATAACCGTCAATGTCTATATTGTGAACTTGGCTTTCTGCGACTTCTTACTTTTAATTACGGTGTTGATATATTACGTTCTCATTTTGCTTGGGGCCAATGATGATTTGAATAACAGGGGATTCGTGTGCTATATGTCAGTGTTTCACAACTGTTTGCTATTCACGTCGCTTTTCACTGTTGTCGTCATCAGCATCGAACGATACATCGGGATTTGTCATCCGCTGAGATTCCGCAACGTCCTTTCCAAATCTCGAGTGATTTCCTTGGTTCTCACAACATGGATAATTGGCCTGGTGTTGAGTATACCAAGAACTTTTGAATGTATAACAACGGGGCACGCGTTGGTGCAGGTGAGAAACGTCGTCTATCTGCTGTACATTATATTCTTCCCGGTTGCCTTGGCAACGGTCTCCATAATGTACATTCTCACAGCGCGGAGCTTCAGTAAATTTGTGGGTCAGCTAGAGGAAAGCCAAGGCATAGACAGGCGTGATGACGAAAGGCAACTCTGCATAACGTGTGCCGCGATTGCCACGTTGTTCTTTCTTTGTCTCGCACCGTCTGTCTACAAGTTTACGCACCATTTAATATATAACATCACGGGCGATATAAAGGGCGACATACACACGGTAATGTGCATTTACGACTTAGCTCGGTGGATGCTGCTTATCAACTCAGTTGTCAATCCAGTAGTGTACAACTTAATTAATTCAACCGGTCGTCAAGCCTTTGTTCAGGCAGTGCGCTGTTCATCCACGTCTCCGACCTCGTCCAGTGATGGTGTAAATAACAGATCGCCGAACAGGACCTTTGTATAAGAGATCGCTGGAGCATCCATTATACCGCATATTTCGGTTAAATAAACGTATTAACTGAATTATCAACTGCATCGCATTACCCTGAGATTCGTGTACAAATAACTCTTTCATTCGATTTTACCTGCAATGTTGTAATGCATCCATTGTCTTTCTGACTTTCAACAACAACGACAATCGTATATAACCCGGATTGGAAAGCCACTTGCCATGTGATCAAATACCATTGTTGGTGACTCTTTCTTCCCCCTTGATGTAAATTATTTAAAAAAAGTGTTAATGGTGTCGTACAAAAAACACTTGCATGTTAGATGAACGTGCGTGGTTTATTCACAAATAACTGTCCAGTGAACCTTGTTTCTGCATAATATAATCTACTCAGTGCATAATGTTGTAGTATCACTTGCGATATCAGCAGGGACTAGCAAACATGAATGGCATGTGTTTTTATTACGACTTTTCTTGTTGGGCGTCAACAGAGATTCAGGTTATTATACTGAACTTAAAACGGGAAGGTCGTCACCTGCGCACGCGCGGGAATTGAGTCCCATGCGACGATTACAACACACGCTAAAACGCAAAGGATCATGGGTAGACGTTTGTTTGTAAACAATGACACACTATGATGGCTATCTGACGTATGCGCAGGTGATGACTCCCCCGCTTTAATGTGTCGTTCCCACAACTTCACAAAAGAGTGTGTGGCTAGCATGCATTACGGTTATTTACAGTGAAATCGTAGTGTCGATTTAGTTTCCCCTACCTTATTATGTATGTTGAGTATCCGGTGGAAGATTGTGCTTGATGCTCGCCTTATTGAGCGCTGTAATTTTTCCTGCTAGATTTTTGAGCAATATTTTGACGACATTTGCATATTTTTGAATATTTTTTTATGTTTTTGGTCAAATAAACACAATTTTCCATTAGTTACAGGTTTCAATCACAATTTAGAAAACATTTGTTAAAAATATTTTATCTTGTGAATGGTGACGAAAGTTGACTCAACGGCCTAGCCGCTAATAATATTATTGGAATCGCAGCCACATTATGATAATTAACTTCCGCTAATTATTTTATATTTAGTTGATGATTAGATTCAGTAAATTCAATTGTACGTAAATCAGTGTCTTTAAATACCTCCACATTAGTGTTGAACTCTTGTATCTACTCTGCGATTTAGTTATTTCAGCTTAGAACACATCAGTCTAAAACATTGCCGTACAATGGTTACAACGTATTACATGTTTGTACGTAATGGTTTAGTTTTACTTCTATCGTGACAACTTATTAGAATTGAAAGGAATATGTTGTCTTCAAAACTATGTACTTGATTTATGTAGAAGACCGCAGCTATTCAAGGTTCCGCAAGTGAATTCGACCATTGGATTTGACCGCTTCAAATAGGTTTTAACGCACCAAAGTTTATATGGAATATTCAATCTTGATAATGAATGACTTTCTTTTAAGTGATGGGTGCAACAACCACAAGACAACTGGTGACTGGTCAATCACTTATTAATATTCACAAGTGTTTGTATTAGATCAGACCCAGTTGACGTCAAAATAGAGAATTAAATTTTCAATTAGGAAATTGATAGGTCGGATGAACATATAATCTGTGATATTCTGTGACAAGGTGTGTTATATATAAGAACCATGGGAGACAACAATAACATATACTGTTCTGTACTGTCCCCGGCAAACATATTATTTAAGAAAAAAGCTAAGG